AATTATTTTCAATACTAGGATTCCAACTATTCGACGCGTAAACCCATGTTTTGTATGTTTTTGATTTGGTGTTGGTTGTAATAATACTATTATACATTGCTTGTTATGTGTTATTATGATGGTTTGATATGGTTACATTATGAAAGTGAATCGTGTGTGAATAATTCATAAAAATATGCATGTACGTGTAATTGTGTAGTAATTCAATTGTGATGAATGATTGAAAAAATGCATGGATGTTCAGATTGAGGGATAGTCTTTATTGCATATGGTTGTTGAAATTTCACATGCATCATTTTTATCAAGAGACAATGCTTGTTAGTTCCGTGGGAACTAGTGACTTGTCTCAAACCTAGAGCGGAGTTTGAAAGCTTAGGGAATAGGCTTTTGTGTGTTATTGGTCTAGGGAACAACCCCGATTTAAAGTAAAAACGTATAAAAATAATAGTGATTGGTACCACATACATGAGTATTACATTCGAGTTTTGCATTGAATCGCATTGTGTTACATCGTAATATGAGGTTATGTGCATCATGTGAAAATGACATATTTTTGAAATTGTGGATTATGAGTGCATAATTGTGAATGGTATAAAAAATTGGGTGATATTATGTGTGTAAAACATATGAAGTTTGAGTATAATTATCTTGAGGTATGTATGCTATACATTATATATTATTATATGATTTCAATAATTATGTGAATTATCACCATTATGTTTGAATGATGTTTTATACGACATCGTTCAAGTACTGGAGATTAGAGTTGTTATTAGCAGGAGAATAATTGTAACACTCAGATTTTTAGAGTTAATTATTTAATTGAATTATTAGGAATATTTATGCATTATTGGTGAATAAGTGATGTTTTGTTGAGTATGAAGTGTGTTGTAATGTTATGTTGTGGGATAATGTCAGATTTGGGCGAATATGAGAATATCAGTAATTTAGATAATTAGTTAATAATTATTTAGAATTACTTAGAATCATTATTATTATTAAAATAAGAGGAATACTTGGTGTATAGGTGATAAAGATGAGATGGTCATATGTGGGAAGTTAGTAAGGATGAGATGGGAAGTGAATATTACGGGTCCTAATGTTAAACAAGGAATAGAAGGCAAAAAGTGTCATTTGGTACGATCGTGAAAACATTGGAAGAATAAAGAAGAGGCTAGGGCACAAAGAACTTGAAGAATCACCGTAGAATGCAAAGAGGAAAGTCGATTGTTAGGAACCTAAGGTAATGGGGTGATCTATCATTATAATTGATATGAGGTTTAGAGGTATGTAGGAATTTGTTGAAGTTTATGATGATTTTGATGATATGTTGTATTATGATAAATTTATGTTGTGATTGATGAAAATACCATGTTAATTTGCCATGAGTTTATGTATATGATGCCTATAATATTGTACGGTTATTGTATGATGATTCTATATTGAAAAATATGAAAATCTGGACTGTATTGGTATGAAATCCCAAGAGGATTTGGGTCTAAACAAGTGCAGAATCACAACAGGGAGTTGTTGTCTAGTGCACGTCGTCAGGAGAAGGAAGCATCGTTGGGCGAGGCAACATCGCTTGGTCTTCTCCGAACGAGACAAAGAGCGAAGGAATGAGTGGAAAAGTGGTGCTCCTGAAAAAATGTATGATAGGAGGAACTTCGCTCCAGCCTCGTTGGGCGAGCAGGAGGCGAGAGCCCGTCGCCTCTGCATCGTCGGGCGAGCATAAGGCGAAAGGACCCATTCACCGAGCGAAGTAGTAGCAATCAAGACTGCTTGCATAAATCTTGAAAATTCCATAACTTAAGTTTTAGAACTCCGTTTGATGCGCCGTTTAAAGAGTTGGATAGCTAATACGATGAACTAATGGATTAAAATGAGCAAAAAGATGTATATTTCCAGAACCTAGGCTAAGATAGACTTAGATCCTTAAGAGGTAGTTTATGATGATGTATGTTGCTATGATGAATTATTGATACTATAATGCGTTGGTTATTATGATGAATTATAAATATTATGGTGATAATATGTTATGGATATGATGTGGTTAACGAATGGGATGTTAACATGTTTTTTTGTATATATATGACATGCGAATGATGTTGATGATTCAGTGAATGGTGATGCACTTGACTAGTTGTAGTTGCGGATATTATGTTGATTGTGCATCATGCATTCGTAGAATTATTAGGACGAAAGTCTAGTGTTAATTTAGGACACAAGTTCAGTGTTGTTGAGGATATTTGTCAAGTGTTAGCCTCAATCCCATTGTGTGAATCGAGTGTGTTTGATGTTGTGCTCCGGTTTTAAGAGAGAATCAATCCTATGGTGGGGATCTTTGGAGGGTGATGAGTCAAATACTCATAACAAATTAGCACCACGTGCATGAGTCTATGTTATTACATGACATGTTATGTGGCATTGCATAATTATTGTCTAGATGATGTTATATATGTTGTTGTGCTAACTGACGAAGTATTGGTGACGATTGTTGATTATTGATGCCATGATGTTGCCATTTGAACTACCATGTCTATTTCGTATATATTTTTTAATGAATGTGATTACTCGCCCTTTATGTTTGAATGTTGCCTCCACGTGGGTAACGTGCAGGTGATCAGAAGTAGTTCGTAGAAGCTTAGAAGATACCTTCGGAGTTTATTGTTTATTTCCATTGATTTTAGAAGGTCTTGCTCTGATATGTAACATCAGAGATGAGAACGTATTCATTGAATTCATATTCCTTTTGTTGGTTATGAATTATAAGTTGTTTTTGAGTTGCTTAAGTTGATTCGAAACCAAATTTTCTGAAACGAATTATATGTTGAGATTTTTGAATTTTGCTGCATAGTAAATGATTATTGTGTTGAAATTTCGAAAAAGAAAATGATTATGTAGTATGAGAATGAGAGCCCGTGTTACAGAGCAATATGTTATTTTGTGATGTTTGTTTTATGAAGCATGTGATACTCTTTTGATGCATTACTCTGATTTAATTACTGAATTATTCATGAATATTCGTGGTATTTTTAGAAGGGTGTTACAATAGCCGTAGAGAAACTACTTTATTCCTTTCCGCATTTTGGATTTCGAGTCATACTCTGAGACTATGTAACACTGGGGAAACAATTTTAATTCATGTTTTGAAAATACTTTATATACTATTTAGTTTTGTTATGCGTATTGAGGTTATGTGATGAATTGACTTTTAATACCTAAGTTAATAAATATGTTATTATGAGACTCAACTATTATTATTTGTTTGTATGAAAGTGATTTCGCTGCAAAATGCATATATGCAAGTTTATAAAAAACATGAATTTTATTTTCAGTGTTATTGAGCATGATAGGTGTATGTGATTGGATAATTATGTGTGACATCCTTGATTTAATATGCATGATTTTATTTACTTTGATTTATGTCATATTATTCCGCGGGGGGTTTTAGAGGATGTCACAATGATGCACACGTTATGCATAATAAAGCATGTGCATTAAGATCATACCTCATGTATTTAGTTGATACACCTATATTTGTCATAAAAAAACTTATAACGCCAATGCGGTTTACCTTAGATACTTCATTAACTTTAAGTGAAATTGTGAGTACGATTGGAGGTCCGCTTGTTTGGTTTACATATACTCGAAGTTAGCTGGAGATTTGCATTAAAAGACCAGACATATAACAACAAACTGCACATTGTTTACAATAATATACTTGCACCTTCACTGTTATTAATATTTCATAACATTTGTGTATGCCATTACTAATATTTCATCGGTACCATTTTCAAGAATGGACTCCAACACTTTCCACACATATCCACCTGATCATATGTTGATGACAACTATGAGTATCAACCTTATGCTTATGCATTGGTCCCGCGTAGATGAAATCAGTCGACCATGCCTTTCAGAGTGTTTCTTGACCATATTACAACAAATGATACACTTTTCCAACCTTATGACGATCACCGTCAGGCGCGTCCCTTAAATGACATATCATTTTACTCTGAATGATTGACTTGTGGGTCACACCTAATGTATCCACGTTTGTATGAGCAAGTCATACGCTAGTTCATGTTTCTATTGGATGTTCCAAAAAACCCTTGGGTATCAGCTCTTCCTGGTAGAGTCTGTAGTATTAGGGAGTCTGGGAGAGTCGGGAGCGACAATGAGACTAATGCTCCAGGATCATAAAAAAGGAAGACGCCATATGTCAATAAAAAATCTTAAGGTAATAGATAAATGGATCCTCTTTTATATATATATATATATATATATATATATATATATATATATATATATATATATATATATATATATATATATATATATATATATATATATATATATATATATATATATATATATATATATATATATATATATATATATATATACATTTATTTATAGGCAATGTGAGACTTTAACCACAAGTGTGTGCGGGAGCTGGATCCGGTGTTGGATCTTATTATAGAATGTGGGGGCTCACACTTGTGGTGGAGAATGTTGGATGCAAGTGTGAGTGATTAAAGTTTCATATTACCTATGAACGACTGAAATATTGAATATATAAGAGAGAAAATCCATTTATCTATCACCTTAAGATCTTAGGTTAAAATGTACTATCTCACTATTTTATTAGAAGATGCATGAAACATACCAACTCCTCGTCCATCGACTAAAGTATACAATTTTTAAAAATACTCTATTACCATTCGACCAAAAAAAAAAATACTTTTCCTTCGATTGTACTCACAGTAAAATAAGGGACAATTTAGAGTCCTACCCTTTGTTTTGAAACTCGTTTGAAACTGTAAATCCACTCTCAATCTTTCTCTATACACAGATCCAACTCTCTCACAAACACACACATGACTCAATAACAAAACCTAGCTAGGGTTTTTCACTCCACCATAGAATGCCAAATTGATCTTCCAAACCAATCCTCAATTCTTCGATTCACTCTACCCAATCCCAAATCAGTTCATATGAAACCCTCGGTTCTTCTTTTTCTTCTTCTACTCTGCACCTTCTCATCCGTTTTCTCCGAGAATTCCAAGAAGAACACGTTCCGGGAACGTGAAGCCTCCGATGATGCCCTTGGTTACCCCGAAATGTATACTCATTATTGCTTTGATTTCATTCATTTAGGTTTTGATATTTTTTTGATACTCGTTTGATTGATTTTTGTTAATGTGGTTAGTGACGAGGATGCTTTGGTGAATTCAAAATGTCCTGTGAATTTAGAGCTTAGATGGCAAACGGAAGTTAGTTCCAGCATCTATGCAAACCCCTTGATTGCTGATATTAACAGGTAATGCACTAATGTCTGTGTGTGATTTTTGTGCTGTTCATGGGTGTATATGCGCTGGACCTATTTTGATAGTTTTAAGGTTTTATCTTTGTTTCAAAACGTGTCAGAGATTCGATAAAGTTTTACCTTGGTTGTTGACGGTCTAACACAACCCCTCCTTTTATCTAGGCTTGAGACCATCTATATATATAGCAAAGCTAACGATTTGGATAGAAGCATGGTTCTGGATAGAATATTATGGCGAACTATGAAGCACTGACACCCCGAAAACGACCCCGACACTGATGCAGTGACACCGATAATAATTTGAAAAAAATGAATAAATTAAACTTAATCACAAGTGTTGGTGCAGGTGTCCGACTCTGACACGGTCACACTTTTTTTTAGAGGTGTCAGTGTTACATAGAATGCGAAAGTTGATCCATGTAGCTGACTCCATTTAGTAGGATAAGGCTTGATTGTTGCTGTATCTTTGTTTTGCAATAATGATTGTTTTAGAAATTTAAGATATAGTTGAGTTTTGTTTTTTACAGCCTTGGAATATTGATGCTATTGGTATTAAAACAATGAGAATTTGTAAAACAGTTAATGGGAAATTTAAGGGTGTATTGATATTTGATGATACAAATGTGCATCAATTAAATGATTTTTTAATTTGTGTGCTTAACCTTGGGTAGTTATTGGTTTCTTGTGTCATTAAATTAAATGTCTACAATTTTGTTTTGGCAGTGATGGGAAGCTTGAAATAGTGGTTCCTTCGTTTGTACACTATCTTGAAGTTCTAGAAGGTACCGACGGGGACAAATTGCCAGGTAAAAAGGTCGTCAAATTTTGCTGTTTCATTTTTGAGATAAGATATGTGTATGAACTTGTAAGATACACGTTCGTTCTCTTAATGATATCAATTTGGGCTGATTCTAGTATAGGTCTAGGCTTAAGAATAGTTGAAGGGGTTTATACTTGGAGAGAATTCAGCAGGCCATAAGAGAAGGATTTAGAATTTAAAAGATAGTTAAGACGGATGCTATGTTACTATCTGATATTCTATGTCCAGAGAGAAGCACATGACTAAAAAATGATTGCTTGTCCCAAATATGGCCTATTCCTGTTTGCACCGCCTTTATAAGCTGTTGTAATGGCTCTTGCTCATTAAACTATACTTGAGCTACATAGTGTGACACATGGGTAATGGCCTAGCATTGGTGCCGTTGTATTGTTGGTTCATGTATATGAATCGACAAACTCTTAGGTTGGTTTGTGATTGCTTAATACAACTCTCCTCTCTTACCGGGTTAGATATTAGTCATGTAAAGTTTGGCATAGAAGTCTGATATAACCACATAAGGAGAGTTGCTCCTTGTACTGTTAGGATGTGATGTATATAAGGGGTTACATTGTGATGTATATAACGAAGAGTAAGGAATTAGAGACAGGGCATCACGTCAATAGAGTCAGGGCTTCTGGACGATGGGAGGTGTATACTCTGGAAGTTCTGCAAACTGTACTGTTATAAGGGAACTTTTCCGCTACATCTTTTAATTAAAATGCCATTTTCTATTATTTGGTTTAAGAGCTCTGATTTTGGAGATTCGGGTCATGGATATTGAGTATTGACAAATTCAGAAGCCGCCATTCGCATTCAACAAGAATGAAGGATCCCATTCTTAACATTACTGGATAGTTGAATGAGCTTGGAAGTTTTAGAAGAGATTTCAATGAGCAATGTCTAAGAATCCCAATCTTTGAGGAGAAGACACTCTTATCTATAATTCTGTATGGAAGCCTAACGAGTGACAGTTTAAGTATATTATATTGTTATGAATGGATGGTCTGAAAAGGATTTATGTAAATGGGTTTTTAAGGTTTAGCTAATTATTGCAAATACTATGATCACTACCTGTTGTTATTGTGATATGTGTTTGATTTGACTTTTCAAAATAATATTCTGCTTGGTTTTTCAGGCTGGCCTGCTTTCCATCAATCAACTGTGCATTCTAGTCCACTTCTATATGACATAGACAAAGATGGGGTGAGAGAAATTGCTTTGGCAACCTACAATGGTGAAGTGCTATTTTTCAGGTTTGTTTTATGCACAGTTTCCGAATTTTTCTTCCATTTACAAATTATCCGTTGCTATGATGTGCTTTTATTAAGGTTGTTATAATAATTTTTCATTTTTAGGGTTTCGGGTTATATCATGTCAGAAAAGCTTGAGGTCCCACGTAGGAAAGTGCCTAAAAATTGGTATGTGGGTTTGAATGCTGATCCAGCGGACCGCACCCAACCAGATGTTCACGATGAGCAACTTGTCCAAGAAGCCACTATTGCAAAATCAATGTCCGGTAAGTTTCTTATGCACTTACTTCTTAGATAATTGTTGAATATTTAGGCATAGCTTAAAGATCCTTAAATATGTGAACTTTATTTTTATATAATCTAATTTTATCTTTGGGGTGGTAATTCTCCTTGTAGAAACAAATGGAAGCAAACACGAAGTCAATTCCTCAGCTGCCACATCAACAGAAAGTCACCCTGACACAAAAAGTGTGTCTAATCCCGAGTCTGAAAAGAAAATAAATAGAAGCCAATCAGAGGAGAGTATTAAGATGCCAACTATTGCTGGTAATTCAAATGTGAATGCTGGTTCTGTAGAGACTGTCAGTGCAGATAATTCAACTGTGAATGCTGGTTCTGTGGAAACTGTCGGTGCAGATAATAAAACCAGCACTGGGAGGCGTCTGCTGGAAGATAACAACGTAAAAGGAGTTGAACAAAGTGATTCTGAATCCAAAGGTAAGGAAGGCGTTCATGCCGCAACTGTGGAAAATGAGGAAGGACTGGAAGCAGATGCTGATTCGTCTTTCGAATTATTCCGCAATAGTGATGAGTTGGCCGATGAGTACAGCTATGATTATGATGATTATGTTGATGAATCGCTGTGGGGTGATGAAGAATGGACTGAAATGAAACATGAGAAATTAGAGGACTACGTGAATGTTGACTCACACATCTTGTGCACTCCTGTTAGTTCCCCCTACCTTTTTTATTTATTAATACACAGTTTACTAATTCTGCATTTGTTAAAGTCCTGGAGAGAGTACAAACAAAACTTTGGCTTTTCATTGTACTTTTTTTCTTGGCTTTGTCAGGTCATTGCAGATATTGACAATGATGGTGTAATGGAAATGGTTGTTGGTGTTTCTTATTTCTTTGACCATGAGTGAGTCTATCCTTACACTTTGTTTTTAAATTTCATTTATGTTGTTTTTATTTGCTTTCTTAATCATAACAATTCTGTGATTGGAACTCATAGTTATGTGAATATGATGGCAGCTGACTAGCTGTGCACCTTTTCTGTTGTTATTTAATCGGTATGTGCTTCATGGTTTACTTTTTTATTTTAGGAAAGTGAAGCACATCATCTGATGGGAATGAAACTCAGAAGAGAGATTGTATTCGTGAGTGTAGATAATACAGTAAAAATAAGTTCAGAAGCTCAAACTTTTTAAATGATGTCACCTATATTCATTATTTTTCTATTGTCATTATAAAAACCTTGAAACTTTACGTTTATATATAAAATAAATTTAGTGGATGTAATAGCTGTACATTTTAATAGACCTTCAGCCTATATGCCTACATACATCTATGAATAATGAGTTAGACTTCGGTTGTTGTTAGGTGGGTATAATGGGGAAACATGAAAATACCAAGGTTGTCAAGATTGGGAGGGGATGGTAAGATCGTAAAACATAAGATTGTAAACCATAAGATCGTAACTAAGATTGTAAGATCTTACCCAATTATTTTTGTAAGATTGGTACTACTTTATATCGAATCGTTGGGGGTGAGCGGGATCACAAAATATAAAATTTTAAGATCTAGATCATGATTTTGACAATCTTGGAAAATACTACAAGGGATAATTGACTGGACAGGTGGCAGTGGAATATTGGGCTGGGTAGTTTTGCATTGAAAAGAGGTGTTTATAAAAAGAGTGGAACCTGGGGTACGGAATATTTTGTAAAAGGCCATGGGCAAGCATTGTGCTTGAGGGAAGAGATCCTCTCATATTGTCTTCTTCCTTCTTTTTGCATTTTTATCTTTGTTTTCTGTATTAGTGTTACACAGGTATATACCTTAAATTGTAAGGAGCTGAGCTCTATTATTCCATATTTATGGTATCAATATATTTTGGTTCTTATCATAGTGAACCCAATGGAAATAGGATATAGGAATTTCAGAATTTAATTACTTCAAACAAAACAAAGTTGATGCTGCTTGGGCTTTGCATCAAAACCAAATTCAAGTGAGCTTCAAGAATACTGGCATTGGTAGAGAACTCAATATTGTTGAAGTTGATAGTTGTGTTGTTGGAGTTTGTTTGAAGTCCCATATTGCTTAGGTTCCTGGGTGTATAAATATGTGAGGGCAACCTCACCCTTTGAGCTAGCTTTTAGGTTTGAGATCCAAACATATTTAACATGATATTAGAGCCGGGTTAAGGACTGCAATGTGGGCGTTTGACCCAGACCCACACTAGGCACAAGGGTGGGTGTTGAAGTTGATAGTTGCGTTGTTGGAGTTTGTTTGAAGTCCCACATTGCTTAGGTTCCTGGACTGTTGGGTGTATAAATATGTGAGGGCAGCCTCACCTTTTGAGTTAGCAATTAGGATTGAGATCCAAGCATATTTATCAAATACATGCTCTGTTTTGCAGTATTGGAAACAGGGTATGTTGGGAAGATAAAGTTTTACATTGTGAAAAAGGATGTCAAATGAAAAATAGATGAAAGAAAGGTCCCTACAGTTTCACTCTTAAAGAGGTAGAAATTTGGTTTAGAACATCAGATGTCTTCAACCTTCTGACATCCCTTGGCAGCTGTATACGGTATTGGATGGCAAAAAACAAAAGATATAATAATTTTTAATTGATTACTGCTTGTCAAAAGATGAATCATATTATAAACGTTCTGATTCTATAAAACAAGAGTTATCTGTAGGATAAAAGTCACATGCTGGGAAGCTTTGTAGATGTGATGTGTTAACAGATAATGGCGTTAATAATATTTTTTGTAGAAGGGACAATCAATAAAGCTTGCGGTTTTCTTTGTAATCCAGTAATTACCTTTCGTTCCACTAATTGCAATCAAACTCGCCCCAATCTTTTACATAAAGGATTGAGCTGAATACAATGCACAATACAAAGATGCTTATTGTATGTATATGTGATTATTAATTTGTATATATATTTTTTATTGGTTGCTAACATAGAATAGATAAATACTTATCTAGATTCTAGATATACACCAGGTCCTCAAAGAAAAAATAAAAGGCCAAAATTGAATGCTCTATTCTTGGGCTATATCCATAAACGACTAGAACATCGGTGAGATTTCATAATTGTTGAGAGGCATCAAAATCCAGTGTAGTATTTTATTTAAGATAAATTCATTCAATCATCTTTGTACTTTGTATTTGGCTGAGTTTTTGTTAATCCTGTTTTTTAAACGTTTTTATTGCATTAGTTTTTTTCTTTTCTGTCATCAAATTCGTAGCAACCAGTGCAGTATGATTTTTGACATTGATTGATTTTCTTATATTGGTATAGTCTACACTTAGCAAATGAGTAATTGTTAATTTAGTGGTCTGGTGGTAATTAGCAATGTTTAAGCTGACAGGTATTATGACAACCAGGAGCATAAGAAAGAACTGGGTGACATTGACATTGGGAAATATGTTGCCGGTGGTATTGTTGTTTTTGATCTGGATACAAAACAAGTTAAGTGGACTGCAGAGCTCGATATGAGTACAGATACAGCAAACTTCCGAGCATTCATATATTCTTCTCCTACTGTTGTAGATTTGGATGGGGATGGGTATCTAGACATTCTTGTTGGAACTTCTTATGGCCTATTCTATGTGATAGATCATCATGGTAATGCCTGGAGCCTGCTTCTCTACTACCCTCTTGTATTAAAGATGTTTTTTTTATATGCTTCTATGCTGTCTTCATTGATTTTCCCCGGGACTTTTGTTTATTATTGATTTCCTAGTTATCAATCCCAGATAGTAGCACAACCAACAACAACCAAGCCTTATCCCACTAAGTGGGGTCGGCTACATGGATCAACTTTTACCATAATGTTCTATCCAGAACAAATAGTAGCACCCCCCCCCCCCCCAAAAATGCTCTTGTTCGGGAGTTGGTATTCGATGCGTGTATGATATGCCTAAACTAAGGAGTGCCTATGCTTTATTGTTCATGGGATACTCTTATTGTGGAGTATCGTTTACCTTCATCTTACAAGAGGATTCATCTTCATCGATTACTGTCAGAACGAGCTGTACATGTGTTAATTAGTGGTATATTTTATAGTTAAATAGGATTAAAATCCCATAAATAGGATTTGATTAGCTGTGTATGTATTTATAGAAATTATTGGTCCTTACTTATAGAATTGATTGAGGGCAATGATAAGTATTTATTAGGAATTTCCTTTCCTAAATATATTGTATTCTATTTAAGAGCACAGGCTGCTCTAATCAATAATAATAAACATTATCTCTGTCATGGTATCAGAGCTCCAAAATCCATAGGAGCCTGTTAAAAATTGTGGCCTGCATTGCCATTGTTTCCGCTGTGCGGCCTGCATTGCCGATTTTATTTTACGGTCTATCTTGCCGTTTTTCCCAACAAAATTCAGAATGTCTGAACCAGTTAATACCCCTGCCCCAAACACCGGCTCTGTTGAGCTGAAAAATGTTCAACCTAGCCTTCGTCTCAATGGTAAAAACTACCTCAAATGGTCTCATTTTGTCCAAACCTTTTTAAAGGGGAAGGGCAAATTGAATCATCTTACTGGAAAGGATACTCCAGAAGCTACAGACGGGAAATTTGCTGCATGGGATGAAGAAGATGCTGTTGTAATATCATGGCTATGGAATTCCATGGTGCCTGAGATTAGTGATGCATGCATATTCATGAAGACTGCCAAAGAGGTGTGGGACAGCTGTAAAGAAAACTATTCCAAGGTTGGTGATGCTGCACAAATTTACGAAATTAAGATGAAGATTGCAACTACCAAGCAAGGAGATCGGTCCATTAGTGAGTATGCCCAAACTCTACAAAATCTATGGTTGGAGTTGGATCACTATGAACATTTTGAAGCAAAATGCACTGCAGATGCTACTTTAATAAAAAATTATAAGGAGAAGGATAGAATCTATAAGTTCTTAACCGGTCTGAACAATGAGTTTGATCCAATAAGGATTCAAGTACTCGGAAAAGAGTTACCCTCACTAAATGAAACCATGGCTGCCTTTCGAACAGAAGAATCACGAAGAGGAGTGATGATGGAGCCTCAATCAACTGAAAGTTCAGCCTTAGTAGCACAAAGTCGAGAGAAGAACATTGACCAATGGAAGAACGGTCAAACCGGAGGAGCTCCCAAAATGGAGATTGAAAGAGGGGATAACAAGGATTCTCTATGGTGTACCTTCTGCAAGAAGCCAAGGCACACCGAAGACAGATGCTGGAAACTTCATGGAAAACCGCCAAATTAGAACCGAAATTGGAACACCAAAGGCATTCAACGAGGAGGACCAGCACATGCCCACTTGGTCCAATCAAGTGTTGTCAAGGAAAGTCATTCCAAACCTACTGCTGATTTCAATTCAGAAGAAATTACAAGACTAAGGGAACTACTAGACTCTTTAGTCAAACCCACAAACACAGGTAGTTCTTCCATGGCATTATCAGGTAGTTCTCATCCCTATGCTCTTAGTGTTTTACAATCTACAGGAAAAGGGACATGGATTGTTGATTCTGGGGCTACGAATCACATGACCCATTCCTCTATAGAGTTTATCTCTTACACACCGTGTCCAAGTAATAAAAAGATTGTCACTGCAGATGGCACTTTTATTACTGTTGCAGGAAAGGGAGATATTCCACTAAGTCAAAATTTAATGTTGAGAGATGTCTTGCATGTGCCCAAATTATCTGCCAAACTGTTATCTATTCACAAACTTACAAGAGATTTACAATGCTTGGTAACATTCACTCCTACACTTTGCAAATTTCAGGATCAGGAAACGGGGAAGATGATTGGACTTGCTAGAGAGGACAATGGGCTCTACCTTCTTATGGAAGCGCGTGAGACAAGTAGCATTAAGAGTCAACTTCCACTGTCTTTGTTGTCAGAATCTATTCCTTTCCTCAATAAAGAAATCTGGTTGCGTCACTTCCGGTTGGGTCATCCTTCATTTAGCACTCTCAAAAATATGTTTCCCACCTTGTTTCAAGGTATAAACTTAGAAAATTTTCACTGTGATGATTGTGAACTTGCTAAACACAAACGTGTCAGCTTTCTTAATAATAATAAAAGAATGTCTACTCCTTTTTCCTTAATCCATAGTGATGTTTGGGGGCCATCCAATATCCCAAATATATCGGGGGCCCGTTGGTTTGTCATTTTTATTGATGATTGTACTAGAGTGTCATGGATGTATCTCTTAAAACAAAAAAGTGAAGTCACTCAAATATTTAAATTGTTTTTCCTAATGATAAAAACCCAATTTGAGACTACCATTAAACGGTTTCGTTCTGACAATGCCAAAGATTATTTTAATCAAACATTGTCTTCCTTTTTCACTGAACATGGTATTATTCATGAATCATCATGTGTCCACACCCCACAACAAAATGGGGTGGCTGAAAGAAAAATTGGGCATATTCTCAATGTTACCCGAGCATCTTTATTCCACACAAATGTTCCAAAACAATATTGGGGGGAGGCTGCTCTTACTGCAGCCTACTTGATTAATCGCTTACCCTCTCAAATTCTTCAGAATAACAGCCCCATTCAGCTCCTCTCCAAATTCTACCCAAATTTCAAAACTTCAAACCACCTAGTTCCTAGGATCTTTGGGTGTGTGTCATTTGTCCATGTTCATTCTCCACATCGAGGAAAACTTGATCCCCGAGCTATTAAATGCATATTTCTTGGTTACTCGCCTACCCAAAAAGGTTACAAGTGTTATCAACCTACAACAAAAAAGAATTTTGTGTCTATTGATGTCACTTTTGTCGAAACCGAATCCTTTTTTTCCAAACCTTATCTTCAGGGGGAGAAGGAATGCATCGAAGAAAAGGATGATTTGTTCAAAGACCTTTCTTTTATGCCCAAGACTCCCGAGTCAAGTCCTATAACCACTTCATTACAGACTTCTAATGCTACTCGTCCACTACAAGTTTACACAAGAAGGGCAGCACCTATTATCCAACCTGTGCAAGTCCCAGAATCTGACCCAATTCTTGAAACTGTAATCAATGAGACTGTTTTAGAGGAGCAAATTGTGCCCCCTGAAACTGAAGTTGATGGGACTGATTTAGAGGAGCAGAATATATCCATGGATGCTAGAGATCTTCCAATTGCTATAAGGAAGGATGTTAGAGCATGTACAAAAAGGCCAAGGTATCCAATGTCTCACTTTATATCCTATGATAATTTGTCCAACAATCATAGAAGTTTTCTTGCTCATTTAAACACTACCGCTATCCCAAAAAATGTTACCGAAGCACTAGATAGCAAAGAGTGGAGAGAAGCTATGAAAGTTGAAATGGATGCACTTGAGAAAAATGGAACTTGGAAGTTAGTAGAGCTTCCTAATGACAAAAAACTTGTTGGCTGTAAATGGGTATTCACCCTTAAATACAAGTCCGATGGAACACTAGAAAGGTATAAAGCAAGACTAGTAGCTAAGGGGTACACACAAACATATGAGATTGACTATCATGAGACTTTCTCTCCTGTCGCAAAAATGAGCACTGTCAGAATTTTGTTATCTCTAGCAGCTAACTATGGATGGAATTTGCAGCAATTCGATGTCAAGAATGCTTTCCTACATGGCAACCTTGAAGAGGAAATTTACATGGAGGTCCCACCTGGGTTTAACTTTGAGAAAGACAAAGTTTGTAAGCTAAGGAAGGCCCTTTATGGACTGAAACAGTCCCCTAGGGCCTGATTTGGCAGGTTTACCACTGTGATGAAAGATATGGGATATAAACAAAGTCAGGGAGATCACACATTGTTTACTAAGCATTCAGCCTTAGGGGGAGTTACTGCACTAATTGTTTATGTGGATGATATAATTGTAACAGGAAATCATCAAGCAAAAATGGATAGCCTAAAAGTGTGTTTGCTAAAAGAGTTTGAAGTAAAAGAGTTGGGCAGATTAAAATATTTTTTGGGCCTTGAAGTGGCACACTCTCGTCACGGTATTTTCATCTCTCAACAGAAGTATGTGCTGGATTTATTATCTGAAACTGGTAAATTGGGATGCAAACCAGTAGAAACTCCAATTGAACAAAATCACAGACTTAGTGAATTTGTTGAAGATGCAACTGTGGACAGAGAATCCTATCAAAAGTTGGTTGGAAAGTTAATCTATTTATCTCACACTAGGCCAGACATAGCTTATGCAGTGGGAGTGGTGAGTCAATTCATGCATAATCCCAAAGAAAATCATCTTAGAGCTGTTTACCGAATTTTGCAATACTTGAAGGGCACTCCTGGAAAAGGAATTCTATTTACAAAGGGTCAAGGAATTACTTTGGAAGCCTATACAGATGCTGATTATGCTGGATCAGTAGATGACAGAAGATCCACATCCGGATATTGTACTTTTCTTGGAGGAAACTTGGTGACTTGGAGGAGCAAAAAACAAAACGTTGTTGCGAGGTCAAGTGCAGAAGCAGAATTTCGGGCTATGGCTTTAGGTATTTGTGAACTCCTATGGCTGAAAATAATTCTACAAGACCTAAAGATTGAATGGAATGGACCCATGAAACTATATTGTGACAACAAGTCAGCAATAAACATTGCACATAATCCAGTGCAACATGATAGAACGAAGCATGTCGAAGTAGACAGACATTTCATCAAGGAAAAATTGGATAGTGGGACAATATGTATACCATTTGTATCAACTGGAAATCAGCTGGCAGATGTTCTTACAAAAGGATTAAGTGGTTCTACATTGCAATCTATTATCGGCAAGTTGGGAATGAGTAACATCCACTCTCCAACTTGAGGGGGAGTGTCAGAACGAGTTGTACATGTGTTAATTAGTGGTATATTTTATAGTTAAATAGGATTAAAATCCCATAAATAGGATTTGATTAGTTGTGTATGTATTTATAGAAATTATTGGTCCTTACTTATAGAATTGATTGAGGGCAATGATAAGTATTTATTAGGAATTTCCTTTCCTAAATATATTGTATTCTATTTAAGAGCACAGGCTGCTCTAATCAATAATAATAAACATTATCTCTGTCAATTACAATTCAGTGTTTTAATTTATCTTGTATAGAGGATTTTTTCACAAGTTTCCTTATTATCAATGCAAACTAGAAGTGTTTCTTTTCTGTGATCCTATTAGAATTATTTTTTTGCTTCTTTCTGCTTTGTTTTATTGCAGTTTCTTGACAGTAGGGTTTTGCACTATAAGGGTGGACATGTTTTGGATCTGAAATCTTAATTTTGGGATTTTTTATAAGCATAATTAGTGGATGCTAAATATGATTCAATTTCATGGGTGGCTCACTATTATTTTAGCATTGTTCTTACTTATTAGTTGAATGGAAGCTTTGGAATCATAGTGCGTGTTTGTGTATATATTTTCCTTGGTTTATCAAATGCTAATAGTTTTTTATTTATTTCTCAAATAGGTAAAATTAGAGAAAAGTTCCCTCTTGAAATGGCCGAGATTCAAGGAGGTGTTGTTGCAGCTGATGTTAATGATGATGGGAAAATTGAGCTGGTTACGGCCGATACACATGGAAATGTTGTTGTATGGACCCCCAAAGGAGATTTGATATGGGAAAAGCATCTGAAGTCTCTTATTCCACATGTAATGTACTATCTCAATCTTCCTTAGCATGTCAATGAATATAGCATGATTGCATGCATTTTGTGCTATCTTGTTGATTATTGATCGTGGAGTGGACAATGTATGTATTTAATAGCATTTTAAAATTGGTTTGGGTTGATGGGATATCTTAAAATTTGGGGTAGACTTCTCAATAGTACAAATCAACTTGTAAGATTAGAGGTTCTTTTCATCTATGAAATTATTTTCAAGCCAAATTACATCCGAAGTGATATTCTCAACACACCTTCTCTTCCAGCCAGGAGTTGACGTCTAGAATGTGACCTGATTGACCCTGATTGCGAGTGGCCCATGAATTTAGGATAGACTCTGATATCATGGAATTTGAGTTGAACCTAAGTCAGCCGTACAAAACCGGTTTGTAATATGTAGGAAGCCTTTTACTTATAAACACACTTTCAAGTCATATCACATCCAATGTGATGCACTCAACTAAGATAATTGACGGAGAAGTGTGAGACTATAATGTATACGTGAAAAGGAAGAATATGTGACTTTTAGATTAAAAAGGGAAGAGTAATGAAAATAAGCTAGGACTTGCATAATTTTAGCTTTATGTTTCTCACGTGCCATCAGATTTCTGAAAGAAATAGAATTACCATTTTGCATGAGAAAATAATTAGTAATAGCGGAGGAAGTAATATATTTAGTAAGTGTGTACGTTTAAGCCATTTCTACAATTCAAGAGAAAATGAGGGTTAACTCCACATAAACTGTAACAGCTATTTCTATAATCTATCTTTAGACGTTTATAAACATAAATTAAGAATAGTTAGAGAACATTTATATGTGTACTCAATTGCTCATGTTACGAGAAAAACCCAAATAAGACCTCTCAAATGCTCCATTACACTACTTCAATAACTTTTGCTATTTGGGTTTAGGGATTCTGCAAACTAAAGGCCTTTTTAATATGGAACTCAGTAGCTTCAACTTTGAGTCTTTTGCTTCAGATAATATGCAAATATTAGGAAAAGTTAGTAAAGCAATACTGTTATAAATAAGAGACTGTAAATTGGGAGAATTTGATTAGAGGACTCGGATTGAATTATTGCACTGTGGGACCACCGGAGTTGTCGCTCAAGTTTCAATATGTGATTAATTTGCAAAGCTGTTACAATTCTTAACAAATTGTAGGTGCAACTTGTACTAACTGTTCCTTTGTACTGCCGCTCTGAATGCTTAGCTTGTACAACTTGCCCACTGATAAGCAGCCATTCAGCTGTTTTCCTCTTTAAAAATTGACTTGTCAATTTCATCTAAATAATTTTATACAGGCTCCAACTATTGGTGATATTGACGGGGATGGCCACACTGAGCTTGTTGTGCCAACACTATCTGGGAAGATTTATGTTCTTGATGGAAGGGATGGATCATCTATTGGACGGTATCCATTTATAACTCATGGAAGAGTGATGAATCAAGTTCTTCTAGTTGATTTAAGTAAACCGAAGGAAAAGAAGAAGGGGTTGACTATTGTTACTGCTTCGTTTGATGGTTATTTGTACCTCATTGATGGACCTACAGGCTGCGCTGATGTCGTTGACATTGGTGAAACTTCGTAAGAAAAATTCTCTAATCTCGAACTGTTGTTTCATACTTTCATAAATTTTCTTTCCATCCCAATCTTCCAGAAGTTATATAAACATGTCATTTTTTATGCAGATATAGCATGGTTTTGGCAGACAATGTAGACGGTGGGGATGATCTTGATCTGATTGTCTCAACAATGAATGGCAATGTCTTCTGCTTCTCAACTCCCTCTCCTCACCATCCCCTCAAGGTAAGATATTTTTTAAAGTCGTTCAAATCATTTAAACTCTCGTCTTTTTCTTAATTGCTTTATACAATGTCTTAGGCTTGGAGATTGCCTAACCAAGGAAGAAATAATGTCGCAAATCGATACGGTCGTCAAGGCATCTACGTTACTCATCCTTCTAGGGCATTCCGTGATGAGGAAGGCAAGAGCTTTTGGGTGGAAATTGAAATTGTAGATAATTACAGATACCCATCTGGTCATCAAGGACCATACCATGTCACTGTAAGTTCTCAACCAAATTACTTTAGATAAGCTTATTCTCCTATGGAGCACTCAGTTTATGATTTTTTTCTTTCCTTTTCATGTTTTGAACTCATCAGACAACCTTGCTTGTCCCTGGTAATTACCAAGGAGATAGAACAATAAAGCAAAACCAGACCTATTCTCAACCTGGTAAACATCGAATTAAGCTGCCTACTGTGGGAGTAAGGACCACAGGAACAGTTTTGGTTGAGATGGTTGACAAAAACGGACTATATTTCTCCGACGAATTCTCACTTACATTCCATATGCACTACTATAAATTGTTGAAGTGGCTTCTTGTTCTTCCAATGCTTGGGATGTTTGGTGTGCTTGTCATCCTTCGGCCACAAGGCGCAGTTCCTCTGCCATCGTTTTCAAGGAACAATGATTAAAGGTGATTATTTTGTTTCACGCTCTAGGCATCTCTGAGCTCAGAACAATGTGAATTTTGCATCAAATTGAGTTACACATGGGTGCTGCAGTGAGTTTTGACCACGTAATCAAAGTGGATATTTTATAAGAAGGATTTGTTCAAGCTTGGTTAACAGATAGATAGTTAAGGGTTGCAACACAGTGAATGAGATCACGATGATGGGATTTTCCCTTTATGTGTAGCGTAATCAGATATTGAAATGTAGAACTGGACCAGTGTTTTTGGCATCTTTATAACAGAATAGATATTTATAATAATATATAGCTTTCTCTGATTTATTATCAGTTTTCTAAATTTTGGTTACAACTTTACAATGGAAATGATCAAACGTAACATGAGACATTTTGGGTATTTTTAGTATTATTAAAGTTTTTTCTTAAAGTTTTGGTTACAACTTCACAATGTGAAAACGATCTAAACGGTCACACAAGACTTTTTTAATAATATTGTGAGTATTATGAAAGTTTTGGTTACAATTTTATAACGTGGAAATGATCAACATTACTCCAATTAATGTAGCATAGTGAGGAACATTTTAGATTGTGCAGATAAAAACATCACAAGATTGAATATTTAGAAGACTTCTACAAAGTATAGAAGGAGTGTGAATTATAAGCGTGCCACTTACGGTTGAATGTACTGAAAAAATTATTAACAGATACATCTATGATTTACCAATACATTAAAATGACTAAGACAGTGACTTAAATTTTCACAACTAGCAACCACACAAGTTAGCAACAAACTTTGATTATCAAACATTATAGTTACAGCCATCAATTGACCAATATCTAAGTACTTTCAAAGTGTATCTATATATCATATCACCACTATGATTTTTTATTATATATTATCACATAGGCTATTTATATTTATCAAAGATTGGTATCTAAATACAAAGAATAATCTTCACCAGTGGCAAATAATTGTCCAAAACTGCACATATATTGCCCCTACAATAACAAAATAGAATCAATCAGTAACATTCTTTATCATTTCTTATCCCAGAAATTATGAAAAAATCAAAAGAAAATGAACATAAAAATTTCAACAGAAATCAAAGGTAAAGCTATAGAAAACTTAAAAAAAAATCAGTCGATTTGCAACACAAGAGGTTTCTTCGCTTCGACCTCTATTTCTTCAAGTACATATCTGATCCAAATTGCTTGACATGCAGCATATGATCCTACTATATATTCAGTTTCACACGATGACAATGCCACCACATGTTGCTTCTTCGAACATCATGAGATTGAGACACCAAAATACTTGAAAGAAATATCCAGTTGTACTATTTCGATCTTCCTTATCTCCAAACCAATCTACATCTAAAAAATAATTAACCGTTGCTTCTTTGCTTTCAGAGTCTTGTCGAAATAGTATTCAACAGTTTATTGATCCTTTTAAGTATCTTAGGATTCTTCTTGCAACCTTCATGTGTGACACCCTTGGTTCGCTCATGTATTTGCTCACTAATCTATATCAGGTCAACTATTGCACACATACCCCAGAGATCCCACAATTTGCTTGAACAAAGTTACATTGACTTTGTCTTCCTCTCCATTCTTCTCCAACTTCACATTTGGTTCGACAAGTGAGGATACAGAATTCGAATCATCCATTCTGAATCTCTTGAGTATCTCTTTGTCATACTTCTGTGATGTAGTACCATACCTTGCTTCGACATTTGAAATTCCATGCCTAGGAAATAAGACAATTTTCCCAGACCCGACATTTCAAATTCTTTCATCATCAGTTCTTTGAACTTCGACAAGTTCTCCAAGTTGTTTCTAGTTAGCAGCAAGTCATCAACATACAAACAGATGATTGTTATATCTTGTGCTACAACCTAAACATAGACACCATACTCAGTTTTGCATTTTACAAATCCCAATTCGACTAAGTATAAGTCGATCTTCTTGTTCCATGCTCTAGGTGCCTGTTTGAGGCCATAAAGTGTTTTATGCAACTTATATACTTTAATCACTTTCTTCTGAATCACAAATCCACGAGGTTGTGTGACATAGACCTCTTCGTCTAAAGGACCATTCAAAAATATTGATTTCACATCAAAATAAAATGTCATACAACCTTGGTTGCATGCCAATGCTACCACTAGTCAAGCAGTCTCTAATCTTGCTACTGGAGTAAATACTCCAGAGTAGTCAAGTCCTTCTCTTTGAAGAAATCTTCGATTTACTAATCTTGTCTTATGTCTTTCTATCGAATCATCAACATTGTGTTTCAACTTGAACACCCACTTCACTTTGATAGCTTTTGTATGTGCTGGCAATTCGACTAACTCTCATGTGTTGTTTCTTTCGCTTTCCTGTAACTCTTCGATCATAGCTAACTTCCACTGTTTAGTCTTCAAAGCTTCGTTATAGTTAACTGGTTCAACACATGCAAGTAAAGCAAAATGAACTAATTCTCCATCTGGTGTGACTTCACCATTATTAGTTACTTCATAGTCTTGAAGTCTTGATGGAAGAAATCTGGTTCATTGAGGTCTTTGACTTATTTCAGCCACAACCTCTTCTACTTCGACTGTGTCAGGAATGTCAACAACTACTTCATCTTCAACTTGGACTTGATTCTCAGTAATTGTTCTGACTTCGACTTCATTAGTTTCTTCGTCAAATTCTGAGCTCATCAATGGTTTTTTAATTAAATTACTAGAATTCCAATCCCAGGCAGGATTTTCATCAATTACAAGATCTCGATTCAACACAATCTTCTCATTAATTGGATTGAATATCCTCTATGCACCAGTTTTATGATATCCTACCAGAATCATAGATTCACTCTTGTCATTAAGCTTTCTTCTTCTCGCATCAGGAACATGCTTGTAACACATAAAGCCAAACACCTTCAAATAACTCACTGATGGTTGTTTGCCACTCCATACTTCTTCCAGAACCTTATTCTTCAATATCTTGGTAGGTCACCTGTTCAAAATATTAACTGCAGTCGAAACAACTACTCCCCATAAGGATTTTGACAAATTCTCCTGCTTTAGCATACATCTCGCTATGTCCAATATGGTTCCATTTCTTCTTTCTGCAACTCCATTATGTTGAGGCGTATAAGGATCAGTTACCTCATGATCAACACCATGTTCTGCACAGAATTTTTCAAACATCTTCAAAGTGTATTCGCCACCTCTATCTGTTCGGAGAATTTTGATCCTTTTCTCACTCTAATTTTTGACAAGTATCTTGAATCTCTTAAAGATTTCGAATACTTCATCCTTTCTCTTGATCACATAGATCCACAGCTTTCAAGTGAACTCATCGACAAACGAAACAAAATATTTGTTCCACCAATGGTATGTTTTTCGAATGATCCACATACATCTGAATGTACCACTTCGAGAATGCAAGATGATCTCATTGGCATAGTCGAAACAGAAGAATTTATGGATTGCTTTCTAACTAAACAACCTTCACAAAGTTTTCCAGGCATCTCAAGACTTGGAATTCCAGTAACCATATCTTAAGAATCAGTTGATTGAGTGATAGAAAATTAAAATATCAAAACCTCAAATGCCACAACCAACTATCCTTGTAGTAAACAACAATTTTCAAACATTTAATTTCTGTCGAACTGATCATAATCTTAAATGTTATATTCTTCGACAACGAATATTTTAAGATCAAATTTTTCTTGGTGTTGAACAATTTCAAAATTCCATCTTTCTTAACAACTGAGAAACTTTTTTCGACCAGTTTTTCAATACTTAGCAAGTTACACTTTATTCTAGGTACATCGAGCACATCTTTAATCATAACTTTCCCTCTGTTACTCATTTGAAAGACTATGTTTCTAGTACCTTCTGCTTGCAACAAACTATTATCATCAAGTTTTACCTTGTTCTTCTTCGACTCGTCGTAGCTTGCCAACCACTCCTTTGACCAGTCATGTGATTCAAGCAGACTGAGTCGAGGAACCAGATCTCGGATTTAACATGGTTATCTGCAACTGCATCAATAACCACCATACCACCTTCAGATTCATCTAAATCTTGGCGTGCAAGGTTCACTCCTTTGTCCTTGTCTATCGATCCCTTGTCTTTTCTGTACCAAAAATTCTTGGCTACATGACCCCACTTTTCACAGTTATAGCACTGCACACCTTTTTTTTTATCTTCTTTGTCCTTTCAATAGTTTCCTCCTCCTCTTTTCGAGGATTCATAAGTTCTATCTTTGATCTGATGCTTGTGAGGGTTCTACCAAGACTTATTTCCATAAGTCTTGCAGAAATTACCTTTAAACTTGTTGGAACCACCATTCGTTTTCCATGTCTGAGCTTGTACTGCCTGTATCGAGTCATGGACTCCTTTCCTTTTGACAATCCTTATCTCATGTGCCTCTAACGAACCAAACCAAATCTTCCACTTTAGTGGTTTCAAGATTGTTGGATTCTTGAATAACTACAATAACGTGATCAAAGTGAGAGGTCAATATTCCCATTACCTTCTCAATTATCATCTTATTAGTTATGGTTTCACCACAACCCTTCATGAGGTGGACGAGTTTCTGAACCTTCGATACATATTCTACAACTTTTTCATCTTCTCCCATTGACAATAATTCATATTATCAATGCAAAGTTTGTAACTTGACAACCTTGACTTTCTCACCTCATTCGTAATGCTTCACCAGAATATCTCATGCCCCCTTCGCCGTTTCAGCATGAGAAATCTTGTCGAAGTTAGCAGTGTCGACCTCCGTCTGAATGCAATAAGAAGCCTTGCAATCTTTCTTGACTTTATTATGGGCTTTTTTCTGTTTGCCGGTTGCATTTGCAGCCAGCAATGGAACACGGTCGGTAATCACTTCTAGGGTTTCATGGAAGCCAAACAAGGATTGCATCTGTTTTTTTCATCGGATCCAATTCTTGCCGTCAAGCATTGGAAGAAAATTCAGAATGCCCTTATCACTAGCCATCTTCACCGCA